CTGACCATGCAGTTTCGATGTCCAATAAGTGGAACATGAGATGTCTTTCTCAGCTTTGGACCCCCTCTTTCACAAGGTTCGCCTTGAATAAAGTTAGTGTTTATCGATTTATGAGACGCTTTCCCTTTGTATTCCTAGGACCAGGCTCTTTCAAAGGAGCTCGCCTCGGTGTTGTCGTGTTGTTTTGGGCATGGAGCCCTGAAGGAGATTGAGGCACTTCCAATAACACAGACATCCATCCGTATCGGTAATGTATTAGATTTACAGTTCTACGATTCATTGAAACCATCATTCATCAATCTGTCGCCAGTCAACGTTGGGTTGCTTGCATTTGCTGAATTTGACAAGATGCTGAAGCTTTGATTTTCCTTAACGTTTTACGTCAACTATGAATAAATTTGAATAAATTGTACATTTGGTTGCGGGGGTTCAATTTCCAGAGGGGAAACTACTACCGAGTCGGGAAATGGGACGAGAGGTTAAACGCAAGTAAAAACGTCTTGAAAAGTAAAGAATAAAATTTTAAATTCTAAGGCTCTTATTTTGAGAGAACGTTTGCTAATGCAGTGTATCTGTGTGAATGGATGTTGACAAATACAGTTAGTGTTTACTGAGTGCATTTTCTGCCTGTTTTCGATGTGCAGGTCCAGATTATATCAACAGCCCAGAAATGTCCGACATCACCTTTCTTGTGGAGGGGCGATCGTTTTACGCACACAAGATCATCCTTGCAACAGCTTCCAAGAGATTCAAGGTACAAAACATGGATAGTCTATTTTTTTTTTTAAGAAGAACGACCATCAAAATGAGGGTTTGTTTGCAGTGGAATAGTGATTGTGTAGCTTTGTCATTGTGCAGGTTTTTAAAAGTATGATTAATAGAAGGGAATGTTTATGAGGTTGGAAAAAATCAAAGGAGCAAACAAATGCTCAAAAAATAAAGAGCATGCTAGTGTGGCGACAGTCACAGCCTTAAGGCGTTTCCCTATGCACATGTTACCTAGCAACATTGGATCAATGATAGCTTTGTGTTATGAGTTGCCATAGCTATTACTGTGTGCTTCTCTTATATTAATATTTTATACCCATATATTAATTTAACTATTTTAGACCTCCCTTATAGCGTAGTAATAGCGTTTCTTTTTCCCTCCTCTTTTCCTTTCCTTTTATGTGTGCATTTGTGCTTTTGCTGACTTGTAATATTAATTTATTTTCATTTTACGCTGATGTCAACTTGCTTCCTGACTCCGCTATCCCCTAAGGTTATCCCAGGCAGCCAGTCATGCTCTAATTTTATTATCTAAATTTTCTGTAATCAGTTACAAGGCAAGAGAGAGAGTATGAATAGAAATTGTTGCTGTTGTTGTTGTTGATTATTACCTGCGCACGTATTCTCGGAAAAGAAACTCCATGGCAAGATTTTTACATATTTGTAGACTNCATTGTGCAGGTTTTTAAAAGTACGATTACTAGAAAGGAATGTTTATGAGGTTGGAAAAAATCAAAGGAGCAAACAAATGCTCAAAAAATAGAGCATGCTAGTGTGGCGATAGTCACAGCCTTAAGGCGTTTCCCTATGCTCATGTTACCTAGCAACATTGGATCAATGATAGCTTTATGTTATTAGTTGCCATAGCTATTAACTGTGTGCTTCTCTTATATTAATATTTTATACCCATATATTAATTTAACTATTTCAGACCTCCCTTATAGCGTAGTAATAGCGTTTCTTTTTCCCTCCTCTTTTCCTTTCCTTTTATGTGTACATTTGTGCTATCTTGCTGATCTGTAATATTAATTTATTTTCATTTTGCGCTGATGTCAACTTGCTGCCTGGCTCCGTTAGCCCCTACGGCTATTCCAGGCAGCCAGTACTCTAATTTTATTATCTAAATTTTCTGTAATCAGTTACAAGGCAAAAGAGAGAGTACAAATAGAAATTTGTTGCTGTTGTTGTTGTTGATTATTACCGGCGCACGTATTCTCGGAAAAGAAATTCCATGGCAAGATTTTTACATATTTGTAGACTTTAAATGTGTTTCAGGAAAAGCAGTCGGCCTGTATATTCACTGAAGGTGTCCTATCTTTGCAGGCAATGCTGTCAAGCAGGCCTGTCGAGGAAAACGATGGGAGCAATCCTTGCATTGAAATAAGCGACATAAAATATGAAATATTTNTAATATTTTATACCCATATATTAATTTAACTATTTCAGACCTCCCTTATAGCGTAGTAATAGCGTTTCTTTTTCCCTCCTCTTTTCCTTTCCTTTTACGTGTGCATTTGTGCTACCTTGCTGACCTGTAATTTATTTTCATTTTATGCTGATAGCAACTTGCTGCCTGGCTCCGTTAGCCCCTAAGGTTATTCCAGGCAGCCAGTACTCCAATTTTATTATCTAAATTTTCTGTAATCAGTTATACAAGGCAAAAGAGAGAGTACAAATAGAAATTGCTGCTGCTGTTGTTGTTGATAATTACTGGCGCACGTATTCTCAGAAAAGAAATTCCATTGCAAGATTTTTACATATTTGTAGACTTTAAATGTGTTTCAGGGAAAGCAGTCGGCCTGTACATTCACCAGAGGTGTCCTATCTTTGTAGGCAATGCTGTCAAACAGGTCTGTCGAGGAAAACGATGGGAGCAATCCTTGCATTGAAATAAGCGACATAAAATATGAAATATTTACGGTAGGATATGAAAAAGACAGTTTTCACAGACGTATACTATCAATGCCTAAATTACAACCTGCTCACACCAAATGTTTGAGCGAGGACAATGTAAAATCAACTGACTCAAGTCAAAGTTCAATCGCATGAAGAAAGTAATATTATTTGAACCTTGTGTGCATGTTGAACTTAAGTTTCAGTAGTTTGTCATCGTTTTTAACTCTTTTAAGCTGATTTACTGTTGTGTCAAGTCATGTCATGTCATGTTCCTGACTGACTTGTGACCCTCTTCAGCACTAGAAGAATATGTATATATAAAAAAACTACAATACACATTCTTTAAGATTTGCGAACAGTTTTAACAGATCTTTCTTTGTTTAGCTAAAGTTCATTGTGTAAATTTTTCCTTGGGCTTTTAAAGTGGCTCGATCGAAGTTTTGAGTAATGATACCGTTCAACTTTGAGCGACTAGAGCACCACCACTATCAATCCAACAGAAAATCAAACGTAACCGATGTACTAGAGAAAGACGAAAGTTGCAAATGGAGTACATTTAATTTCACCAGGATCTGAGTTAAATAGCGACGAAATGACGCCATACCCCATTTTACATAAGACCGAATAACTTGCCATCAGCGATAATTTTGAAAAATACGACGTCGGGATCTCGGACTTGACTTATTAGTCTTAACGAAAGCAAAATTTAAAAAAAAACTATAACAGCGTTTTCGAGAAAATTGCGAGTGAATTTTCAAGATGTCAAAATACAACAAAAAGATCTATGTAAGATTTACCTAACTTGAAACTTTCATCATTCTCTAGCACAACAGTAACGTTCGATTGCTCAAGAAATGCGATCGAGCCACCTTAACATTCCTACTTAGGTTGACTTCAATAGTGTGAATCTAACCCGCTGATTGAAATGAAGGTCGAAGGTTGTCTGCTTGGACTGTTCAATCAGTCATGCTCGTGTTAAAGAAGCACTAGATGAATTATGTTCAAACAAAAAAGATGAGACTTAAGCTAAGGATGTTTTTGTTTTTCCATATAATGAAATCAAAGAACTATTATTTCTCATCAGCTTGTGATTCAGTTTTTGTATAGCGGAGCGGTGGACGACCCTGTGGATCAAATTAAAATTCTAGAGGTCAGTATGTGCTCACATGTTATTCACCAACAGTCGCTCACCCTTATTTATTTATTTATTTATTTATTTATTTATTTATTTATTTATTCATTTCTTTTACTTATTTACCCTCCTCGCTATTTTGCCCTCTGTTTTTAGTTGTTACAAGCCTCGCAGTTCTTCATGTTAGACTCATTAAAGCGTCACTGTGAGCGTCTTGCCGCTGGCCACCTCGACTGTGAAAATGTCGTGGACACCTGCGCATATGCCAAGGTCAGTATATGCCGAGAGCATGAAAGAGGTGTAGAGTGAAACACGAGCCGTAGGCGAATGTTTCTCCATACTTCTGTGAGGGAGAAAATAATAATAAAAAAAAAATGGTGGGAAAATGTCTGACATCGGTTTGTGCAATTTCAGTCGTGCGATGCAAAGGAGCTGTTAACCTACTGTGAAGGGTTTATTTTGAAAAATCTTCCTGCCATGATGGACATCAAGAACTTTAGAGACACTTTGTTCAATAACAACAGCAAAGATGTAAGTACAAGACGTTCTTCAACTTCTTTTCCACGAATGGAATGATTAGGAGGAAAATTTCGAGAATATGTTATCCCTGTGAGACTGGGAACCACCCAGCCGCATTGGGGTATGGTGTATAAACAACAACCTTTTCAATCTTTTCAGTAAGAGTTTTTCCAAACAAAATATGAAAGCTAGTGAAGGTAGTGATATTTTTAGTTCGTCGTCATACGGAACAACGAAGTTTGGAAACAACTGAACTAGACCTACAGATTCTCAAGGGATAATAAGCTTAAAAGTCGGTGCAATATTGTGACATAACATTGATGATGTCCTATCGGTTGTTGGAACAGTTCGATGTCGGCGTATAATAGTACCGTAGGCATTTAACTTTCCTTTCGTTTGCAGCTGTTACAAGCTTTGAAGTCGTGCTTGGTCCAGCGAATCAAGTGTCACAGTCTGGCGAAGCTACATGGGAAGTCATCTTTCAAAATTTGAATATGTTTCCAACACAGTTACATTATTATGACGAAGGGTGGTCGGGGAGACTATCGTATTCAGTGTACCCAGCAAGCGATCCAAGCTTTTTCAGACGATAGACAATTGAGGCCACAAACCCAGGGAAACATTCTCGGTGCATGGAATTTTCCCAGACTTGCCATGGCCGGTGACGAAACGTTAGAGAAAACGCTAACTGCTCTTGACTCTCGCAGACGATTCTGACACGCTTGTTCAAAAGCAGGTCAATTAATGCTAACCCGAGATTAAAAGTTAACCGAAGTATCAATTTTTTTTGTATAAAAATGTGTTTCACTGCTTATGTTTTGAGTAATTTGAGATTACTCAAGCTCAAAACTCAAGGGCATAAAATATAAACAGAAAACCTCACCGAAAAGTTAAAAAAACTGAAATCAAATTTCTCGCTAATCCTCGGTTAGCCTAATCGGGCTTTGAACAATCCTGCCCTGGCTGCTAAAGAAAGCAGTAATCGCATTGGTTTTAAACCCTATAGCACTGTTCAAGATGTTCCTTCAAAGTAAGTATTAGATTATGTAAATCAAAACAAAAATATAGAAGAGATTAAACACCACCCTTTGTAAAATGTGGCAGCTGAACTGCCATTCTATAGCTCACCATCATTTATGAGATCAAACAAGCACCTTTATTCAACAATCTCGGGATACAATACTATTACAATGGAAAAATGAACTCGTTGACATTTCAGCATTTATCACAAGTCGTCTAGTCAGGCACACAATGTAATTCAGCTGCTATACTATTTTATGAATATAAGTATTTCGTGCGGGTTCTGCTTAGCGGAGATTACGCCAATCAACAAATAATCGAAACTCCTTAATACCATTAGCACTGACTAATAGCGAAGCGCGCGAGTGACGTCATAACTCAGACAAACTCAGACAAACAAAACGGAAAGGTAGAAGATTTGACGCTCTTTCAAGCGCGTAAGCAAGTGTTTCTAAAACAATTTTTAAAACGAAAATTTGGCGTTCATTTTTCTCCTATTTCACTCAGAACACGCTTATGTTGTCTGTCTGTCGCGGGGTTCCAATAATTTGCATTCTATTTTTAGACTTCGCGTGCTTCGTTATTGCATGGCATAAAAATGTTAATACACTAGCTACTTAAGAAACTGATATATTACTGTAAAGATTTGAAAACAATTTGTTTTTTTGAGCGATCTCAAACATTTTATTGTGTAGCTGGCGGTTTCAAATTTGAATTTTACTCGTTGCAAGAGAGAGAAACGCCGGAGCAGCGGGGACTCTGTACTCTTCACTCCTCTCTCGTCTCCGTCCCTCGTTTCTCTCTCGCGCCAGCGAAACGCCAATCAGAAACCACCAGTGTCGTCATTTAACATTTTATTGGAATATATGCTTGCATTTGCTGCTGCTCTTGTAGAAAATTAGATGCTAATCCCCTGAAATGATTTATTCGGTCCAGACACGTTTGATTACAATCTTGTGTCTTCCTTTGTCTGGTCCGGATCGTTCTAAAACAAAGCAGGTAAAAACAAAATTATGCTTGTGACATGTACTACTGTATTAAGTAGACCCCATATTAAGCGGACACTTTCTATTAAGTGGACACCAGCTTGAGTCCCTAAATTTTCATCCCACATTTGCTGTAATATACTTGACTCAGCGGACACCTCTGTTAAGCGGACGCGGACACCAATTTTGAGCCATTTTGTTGCAAAAAACCTGCAATAAGCGGACACTTCAAGGGCTTTTTACTAAAAGCACAGCTCAGACTCCTGCAACATTGTTCAGCGCTGTCGTTTTAATGCTAAGTAGATTATTTCAGATTGATGCATTGACTGACTGAACATTGTGCTATGAGCAGTCTTTGATCATACACTGTTTTACACTGTGTTATAACTGGAAAAGGGTTAAAAACTATTGCTGTACAACATATTACTAGTACCTGTTTTGAGCGGACACCCTGTATCAAGAGGACACTAGTGAGTGCCCCAAGGGTATACGTCCGCTTAATACAGGTTTCACTGTAGAAAAAACAAATAATCTTTTGCAGCATTTTTCAAGCTTTAATACAACAAGTGAGATGAATTTTGTCTCAAGTCCGTTCGGTAACCGAATTTTTTCAATACGAGCATGATCATGTCTAGGCTCGATTTCCACCCCTCTAGATCAGATAGGGCGGTTTTAATTTATATGGGCGCATATAAGAATCTTCACTTCGTTAAGACCAGCATTCTTATCCCAGACGCAACGATCATAGTTTTTCACCAGCTCCAAGAATATACCAAACGGGCAAGTGTCGATTCTTTAAGCATGCGGACAGCCCTATTGAGCAGCCAGTGAAGTTTGAGTGTGTGCAAAGGACTAGAAGTCCTTGTATCGTGGACTTTCCATGTTGGCAACTGCCAGATATTCCACAGTTTGCAATTGTTGGTGCGTACCAAAAGGTAAGTAATTCACACTCCCCTCATTATATGGAGAAACCAAACTCCAATTCAACCTAACGAGACCTCGCGTACTAGGCCGGCCCAGTTTCGCGTATTAAGAGAACATTTTAACTTGGGAATTAGAGGTGAGGTAACATCTTGGCTAACTAAATGTGGGCTGCCCCCCTCCTAAAAACCGAGACTACTGAGAGAGTAACAAACGGGTTGACTAGTTCAGTGTAGTGGTTCAAATTGTTGGGCCTTTCTATAAGTTGTATTTTTACCTCCATCTCTATTTCATCTTCAACAGCGAGATCGTTTTCTTCGTCCCAGGTAAATTTGTGACCAGGCAAAAATCCACGTAGCCAAGCCTTAAGCGGGAAGAGTAATTTAGGATCCACCTCTTTAAGTCGGTCGTCTTTGGTTTCTTGAGTGAGACACAAAAGAAGCAGATAAGCTTTCAGAAACTAATAACTAGACTTGGATCTAGATTCACGACGGCCTTTTAGATTAAGATGACTCGTTAGCATTGTTCGAACACAAAAGGCTATTGTTACGAAACAAAGCTCAGGATGCATTTTAACTTAGGCCGAAGACCTTCGTAAACTGAGCCCAGTAAACTTATTCCAAAGCGCACCATAAAGAGAAGAAACACTCAGTTTATATAAAAACAACTTCAGTGGAGGATCTGGGCAGTGGTCCCAGAGTAGTCTAACTTTTGCATCAGGCTTTTTAAAGGTTTGGCGGAAAGTGGGAGCGCGTTTTTCCCTCTTCCCCTCTCTCCTCCTCTCAGGAAGACCAGATGCTCAGGTTGATCCCAGAGAATCGTAGCCTGTATGGTTCCAAGGGCTGAAAAATCACCTTCCCCCCTTTAACATCTATCCTTTTTAAGCACCTATGAATAATTCATCCCTGAACGTTGGGAATGAAGCATTAAAGCTAGCTAACTGAATATAATCACCAAGAGCAAAACTTCCGATCACTGTAAAAATCACTGCTGCACCAAAGGACAAGCCAGAAGTCCACAGATATGACAAGCTGTAGAGGTCAGCTATTGGTGTACTGCAAAACAAAAACAGGTGGGTCAGCTGAAGGAGGGTACGGAAACAAAATGTTGGGCTAAAAGAGGGAAAGGGTCAAACGAAACTCGCCCTACCACCACCAAATATTAAAAGTGTCCTGCCCCCCTCTACTGGAAGGTAATTCACTACTGCTTTGGAATCGGGATTGACAGTTTGCCGTTTTCCTTGTGTTCTGTTTGGTTTTAAGTAAGACCTCACTTGTAACTCACAGTGTGTCTTTAATGTGAATGGTGAATGAATTACAGATATATCTCAAGAAGATGAAGTATAAATGTGTTGAGTGTAAATTGCGAGTAAAGATGATGCCACAGATGTTATTCCAACGCTTCCATATGAGTATCCTGCAATGCAGGCGTATTTTGGCGAGCGAGTGCACGCAGTTTGGATTCCCATCTTGGATTCAAACTCGCAAGAGACGAAAAGGGGTCTCAGGGAGTAGGCGTGAGGCTATAGAAGGAGTAACGTAAATCTACTCGGTCGCGAGCTAATACCGATAACTCGTGAACATACGGAAAACGCCTCCACTGCAGGCTACCGTATGAGATAACAGTGGCACCGTCATGCTTCTTGGTATGTGTCCGATTTTCCGTGGATTTGACCGTTAAACCTTCTCGTATATTGTGGTGTTACGCACTTTGCACATTACCTATAGTCTACTTCTAACCTTGTGTGTGGCTTGTAAGGGTTCTTTATCAATCCGTCACCATACTTGGCCAGAATCTCCGTTGAACGGTTGTTACATAGCAATGAGATATTTGCTGCGCAGGCTTGCGCATCCTGATAGAATGAGCATCCTCTGACCGAGCGGACGGCTGGGCTCGTATCAGGCGGATAGAA